TATCAGTGGTTGGAGCATAAACTTGGATAACCATCATAATAAAGGGATTGCCTGTGAAGTATAATTGATACTATTCAGTCATTGATTGCATTGTTCCCAAGTATTGTCCTTGTTATAGCTTTATTGACTATGAAAGCAGCTATTTTTTTCTTTGCTTTTCATATCAAGTATTGTCCTTGTTATAGCTTTATTGACTATGAAAGCAGCTATTTTTTTCTTTGCTTTTCATATCAAGTATTGTCCTTGTTATAGCTTTATTGACTATGAAAGCAGCTATTTTTTTCTTTGCTTTTCATATCAAGTATTGTCCTTGTTATAGCTTTATTGACTATGAAAGCAGCTATTTTTTTCTTTGCTTTTCATATCAATAATAAAACAGTATGATTTTCTGACTGAAAGTGTTCAATTCCAATCCATTTCAATGTGATGATGCCAGAAAAGTCAATGCGTTTTGTCTTTCACTGTGTTGAGCTCTCCCATGTAGATGATTCTCGTATGTTCCATGTTTTCACTGTAACTTGTCTTTGCAGCTTCAGATTCTCATTTCTTGCTTGGCATCCTCAGCAACTACACATCCCAAAGGCTTTAATCTAGCCATATTGTAAACACCATTAATATTCCAAAAGATCCTCAGCTCTTCCTCAATAGCATGCTGAGTGCCATCTGACCTGAGAGGCCAATCAACCATTACTATATTGTCAATCACTTTATATTGTCTATGATGTAGTTTTCTTGTTAAATACAGGAGTGGTTTACCACTGCTGACTCCTCCACAGTATGAATTTATGCCTTTGCTGTTGTCACTAAAGTAATCATTTGCCTCCAGTGTCTTCCTTGTTGCTGATGCTCAATAAAGGTGCTGTCTGCTTTAGCTGGACAGCTGGAATGAACTTGATGCCATAGATGACCTTGCTGGGATTATATTATCATGATGTACACTCCTAGAATTCTTTGCTCACCCCTCCTAGAAATACTGTCACTTCAGTGAGGCAGGAGAGAAGGACCTGAGGGAGCATGTCTTCTGTTAGGAAATAACTAAGATATGATCCAGTGGTGAAGGAATTACTTTTTATGCATTTAAACAATTAAGCAAACTATCTTATTCTGCTTTTTAAAGTGATAATTTAGTTAGCAGAAAAACACATTTTATATTTACTTAAAAGCACCTGTTAGAAATTCCAATTGTGCCAAGTGTAGTAGCTTAATTGAAACCTGGCAATTTTATCTTAATCACCTGGTTTCTGGATCCTTGCCCTAATTTATTTGCTTAAACAGCCAGCTCAGATTCTTGTATTTACTACATGCAGATCCTTTCTATGTAGTTCATATATTTTAGATTGTAACAGCTATCATCCCTTGCTACTGACTGGGCTGTTTGAATATGGGAATAAAATCCAAAGCAGAAGGAGGGCATAACACTGCCTTGTTTAACACATGGTTTCTAAAGCACCAGTACTGAAATATATTTACTTAGGAATAAGAAATATAAGACACTTCACTCTTTCAAAGAACCTTGCTTTCATATAATTTTGTAGAAGTGTAAAAGGTAAAGCATCTATGATGAAGATATATTTCTCAAAATTATGCACTTCTTGTTGTCTCCCATCTCTCTGTAGCTAGCTTTTCTTGAACAAATTCTGGGGCATCAAACTAATTTTTTCCTGTGCTCACACAATAAATAGGGAATGCAAGTAATGAAACAGGGATTTTATTTATCAGTAAAGATGAGAAAGGGAGATATACATGTCAGTTTCTGCCTCTCTCTTTTATTTGGAGGCATACAGACTATTATGAATCATAAACATGAGAAATAAATCTAATTGCAAAGAGCTTAATTTGAAGAAAGGTTTATTAGGCTACTGAACATTTGTGTATCTGTGTTGTTTATTTGAGATAAAAAAGCATCAGAAATTAGGGCAAATATAAGAAACCTGGTGCTTTCCAGACATTACTTACTATCACTTTCAGGATCTCAGATCATGGTCATGTGGTTTAGAAGTGTTGTAGCCTATACTTATCTCAGTATTAGAAGTTGAGGGCCCCGTCCACGAAAAAAACTTCATGTGGGATTGCACCTGGACAATTTTTGTAGGTGGAGCCACAGCATTGCAATCCATTCTTACTAATCTATTTACATACCAGCCCTGAATCAGGAACTGCCCGTAAAAAGATGAGCTGTCAGCGAATTTCTCCCCCACCCCGCCTTCCCTCTTTTGTTTTGCCCGCAAGGAACGCATCCTCATAAAGGGTAATTAACACGCCTTCTTTCCCTTCGTCGAGGTACCATCCGTTATTCTTTTTTCCTCAATACTCAGTCACCCTCCAACTGCAAAACAAAGAAATCTCTCCAGGTCGATCAAAGGAAGGGAGAGGAAAAATCTACTCACATCCTTCCTAGTAACGATGATTTGGTAGAAGTCTTTGCTAGGCGCCGGGGCTTGTCCGCGCACCTCGAACAAAGTATCAGCCAGGAGAGACGCCATTTTAGGACGCCAACTCCCAGTCGCTGTGGCAACCAGGAAGGGGCGGGCGACTGGAAGGTCACTGGAAGCCCAGCCCCTTCCCTTAAAGGAGACGGCCAGTTCTTAGTGTTAGAAGTCGCGGAGGTTTTATCACCCCAACGAAGGAAAGAGGGGCCTCGGAACCGCCACAGCTGAGGGGGAAACGGCCGACGGGAGCGACTGGAGCGATTTCGTTGACCCTGAGGGGATAACGCTTGCACGTACCCCGGGGGTGACGACCCCAGCGGAGGGATACCTCTTTTTCAGCCAAGGAACGTCTGAGACAAGCGGAGGGGGACAGGAAGGATAGAACTGCTGCCGATCCTTGAGAGAAGGAGGGGGGCTGCCGGCTCCGCGGCAGGGAGCGCTGAAGCAGGGAGGAGGAGAACACCCGCTGCTGGCGAGGGGGGGAGAGGGGGCCCCCGGCCCCCTTTGGGGGTGAAGTAGTCCCCGGCCTCCCCCTACGCCGCTGGAGGGGGTACGGTAGCGGAGGCAGACGGCGCACTGATCGGTGCTGCGGCTTCAGCTGATAATTGAAGGGAAGAGGCGCCGGGCAGGACAGAAAAGGAGCCGGAGCTACTGGGGAGGCACAGAGCGCTTTTGCGGAGGCCGCGTCGGGACAAACTAGGTACTGTGCGAAGGAAGGAGGAGGGGGGAGGAAACAACACGGGCGGCGACTTATTTTTCTAGGTGACGCTTTTTGTGGGAGTAGAAGGTCCCTCCTTTTCTCTCTGCTTTCCAGCCTGTTTTTTACTGAGGGCCGAAGTGGGGGATGGGATGGGAGGAAGGGACTGTTTTGCGGAGCATGACAGAGGAGGCTTGTGGTGAGGGAGTCCTGGGCCGGGGAGGGGAAGAAGGGCAGAGGGGGAGTTGGCTGTCTCATGGGTCGAGGCCTTATGCAGGTATGAGGAAGTAATCGCCGTGAAAGAAGGTGCTTTTTACACTGAGGTGGGGAACGCTCCCAGGGTCAAGGTGTTCCCCAACAGAAAAGAAGTGACGAAAGGGAAGCCAGGGTGGCAGAAATTGAGCTGCTAAAATGGCCAAGCGTCTGGGCGAAGCTTATCGTGATTCAGCCCTTCCCTTCCTTTCTTTTCCTGTCTTTCTTCTGCTAACCCTGATGTATTAAAGGGGTGAATTTGAAGACCTAATTTATAGGCCGCTGTTCCGACGGTACAGAAAACTGTATAGGACTGCCTCGGGCTCTTTTCTGAGGTTTGGGCCTATCTTAACCCCTTTTCCTACTTTGCTCTCCACCATCAGGAAGGATTGTCTTAATGGTTTGTGTGGCTACTAAATACAAAGGACAGCTTTAATGTTGATCCTGAATCCGATTTGTATTCGGCTCTGCCTCGTTTCTCCTCAGGTCCTTAGCTAATCACTATTTTCCCCGCGCCTCTCTTATTTTTTCTTGGATGCTATTATTGAGCCCCCTTGAATACACTTCGGAGAAGCAAGAAAAAAAATCCTTCCCAACCAGACGACACCACTTTTTTTTTTTTTTAAAAAAGAAAAGCTAAATTATCAGTTGCCTTAATGCTGGGCTGGCTTTTGGGACCGAAAGCAGGGGAAATCATACTGTGTACAGCGGGGGGAGGGGGGCAAGAGTGATCGTTAATAGATTCCCTTAGGTGCTGAATCCTAATACTGGAGCAGATTGTTTTCACCCTGTAATTTTAGAGCTGGTTTGTATTACTGGTATATTCGAGAAGAAACTAGCCTAGCTTGTGGTTTGTTTGCATAACGCGTCGTATTTAGATATTCGCATTCTTCTCCCCTTCCTTCTCGCACGACAGCTTTTGAGCTTCTGCCGACTAGTACCGGGCTAACATTCAAACTGATCTCGAGGCTTTTGCCAGCCTTGCAGGCCGAGCTGCCTGCTGTACAACTTTTATTGTTCCTTTCTCCTAATGGGCAGTCCTGTCGCGGTGGGGGTGTTCTTCCTAGTGGGTTTAAAAGGCATCAGGAATTTGAAAAAGTTTACATTAGGAACAAGAAAACATTAAGGCGGGGAGAGTGGAAAGTTTTGTCAAGAGCTTTAGGAAGAAACATCGGTGTATGGAACAAAGGTTCTGTCTGTATTACAGAGGCCTACATACTAGGCCTGACTATGTCGCATTTACCGAGAAAAGAAATGAGTGCTTGGCATTGGACTACAGTAAATGTGTTCAGTGTCTGGAATGCATTTCAGAAATATTTCTAGAATTTGTTAGACTTAATTTCAGGATTACTTTGTCAGTGTAGCCCTGTTCTAATAATTTCACGGAGAATTCCTTACTTTTAAGCTTTATATTGTTAGCCCAGTTCATTAACCTAAGTGTTGAACTGATGCAGCTTTAAAGCCACATCCCATTCCTCTTTTGACCAAGTCGTTTCCCTATTTCATGGTGGTATTATCACAAGAGTCAGTGTCAGGTCTGTCAAAGGCTTTTTTTAAAAAAAGGGTTAGATTTTGTTCTTTGTTTAATCTGATGCTGTAATCTATAAATAAGGAATCCTTTTCTTTACAAGTTTTAACCAACTGGTGACATGTTTAGAGTCTGCCTCCATGTTAACAGAAATGTTGCTTTTGGAAGGGGGTCAAATTTTAATTTTATTGTCCAGCAAAATCGCATTTCAGAACTTTTGAAATTTTAAGTGTTAAACATTTAGTTTTCATGAATTGTATTCAATATATCAATATAGCTTTCTTTTTTTTTAGATTTTTTTATATTGCCTTTATTGTTTTTATAAATAACTCAAGGCGGCAAACATGCCTAATACTCTTTCCTCCTCCTATTTTCCCCACACCAACAACCCTGTGAGGGGAGTTGGGCTGAGAGAGTGTGACTGGTCCAAAGTCACCCAGCCGGTTTTCATGCCTAAGGCAGGTCTAGAATTCATAGTCTCCTGATTTCTAGCCTGGTGCCTTAACCAGTAGACCACACTGGATCTCTTTTGAGGGAGGATAGCTAGTAAATTAATTCAAGTTTATTAAGAACTTGAATAATGGGGTTCTTAGAATTATTTTGTACAAATTACACATTCAGTCCATTAGTTAATAACCTTTCACTCACTTATATTGTAATTTTAAATTGATGTCATTCTTACTGAACACAGATTAGGGCTGCAATTTTATGCAATTGGGCATATGCTGTATTAAAACTGCTGGGGCTTCTGGTTAGGTTCAGGCTATAACCTTCTGCTGTTTCTTAAATGGTGTTTTAAAATCATAATCACACTTGTATCAAATTGTTTACATTACAGAAAAGCATTAGAAGCTTAAAAGATAAAAAGGAGTGTGTGCTTGAATAGAAGGTGGTCTTTATCCTAGCCACTTGGTACATAGTAGCCTTGTACTAACAGGTGCTGTTCCACTGCTTCTTGTGTTTTGAAAATTTCCTGTGCTTTTTCTTTTGAATGTCCCATGCTGACACTCTTTCTTCTTCTTTTTCTCTGTATTGTCAGATGAACACACTGGGTAGAGGATATACTGAGTAAGAATGGTACCTAGGCAGAAGGCTATACCTCCGTTGGCTGGCTGGCTCTTCCCAAGTGTAGGAACTGCAATCTCTAATCAAATAAGAACTATAAAAATAGCTTCTATAAAGGAAAATGTATGATATGAGCAAAGCACTGGGGATGTGTTAGAAGATGGTGATGAGAAAGGTAAAGCCTAATAAAAACAGTGTAGATACAGGTTAGTTGAAAAGTATAACAAATTAGCAATGTTACTTTGTTATATTTGTAGTAAATTATGTGTGTATTCTTGATTTTAAATGGGTTAGGATAGTAGATTCTAGTGTTGGATATATGGAAATATTTTGGATGCTTTGTTATCTTGCTTTGTGAATGTGATGCTGGCACCTAGGAACTGAAAATACTTTTCAGTTGAGAATATTTTTCTGCCTTATGCTTTGGGCTGTTTAAAAGGCATGTCTGAGAGCACCAGATTGTGTCAGGGGAAAAGAAGACAGTGTAAACAGGTTCAAATGACTTATATTTATTTGCAGTTTTTCTCTTTATACTTGAAATAATACAATACCCTGAAATAAGTAACTTCCACCAAGGGCCTTACATTCAGAAACATAAATGAAAAGGTCATTCTCATAAACAAATCCTGCCATTCCTTCAGTTAGATGAAGCTGTTTAACATAGCATGCAATTGATTTGAAGATGCCTGGGTGAAGGAATTGTTAAAACTGAGATGATGAAAATTTTTAATGAACAATGTAGAGTTATGGGCGCTTGGGCTCTGACAGTAAGAACATCCCTACATAATAGAGAAACTTATTAATAGCATCTAGAGATTGTATCTTGCCTGTACTACAATATTTTAAACTTTATTTAAAGTTTTAGCTATATTGTATACAACCTGTTCTGTTGTTGTACAGGTAAACTTGTTGTTTCTTCTTCCTATGGAATTCTAATAATTCTATGAGGTGGTTGATATTAGTAATCTTAGGCATTTTGGGGTATTCTTTCCAAACTACTGCTCTCAGAAATCTTTCATTTCTTATTCCTGTTGTTGGCAGTAAAAACAAACAAAAAAAAATGGTTTGTAGTATGCATATGTCTAAGCTGGCTTTCCCTGAGCTAGTGGCTTTTATGTGTGTTGGGACTGTAGTTCCTAGACTTTCCACTCACCATAGAAAGCCTTTATCCATGTTGGTTGAAAATTCTGGGGCGTGCAGTCCCAGCACATCTGGAATATGTGAGATTGGAGAAAGTTAGCCTAAGCCAATTTAGACTTAATCAAAACTTCCTCAATATTGTTAATTTATTTAAACAGATGTCTAGCTGCATTATATTATCTAAACCAGTGGTTCTAAATCTCTCATATCATAATATTAAACCCTGCAAATCACTCTGTCAAAGAATCTGGGTCCCACTAAGCTGGAAACAAAAAGCTCACATTTCCCAAGTAGATTTATTTGTGTTTGCATGTGTGCATACACATATACATGTACACACTTACATAAAAGCATTCTGTTATTACAATTGACAGTTATTTTGTGTTTTAACTATATAACAATTGCAATAATGTTGCTAACAATAATTTTTATTGGCACAACTGTAAGCATGAGTGAGAAC